AGGCAGCAAATGTTATAGGCCCTAGTGGAATTCTAGTTCAAGGCAGTAAATATGAAACAGACCGTAACCATTACAGATGCTCTCCATGTCATAGGATCCTCCATGCAATTACCAGCAGAATCATGACAATAGTGAGAGCAAAGAAAAAAACAAAGGTGGGATCCAAAAGTGCTCCTGAAGGCTAAGCCCCATAGTGCCAGCCCTATAGCCGATGCAGGTTCCATATCCTCTGAAGATGCCATGGGTCTTGATTACACTGTTCCACCTTCCTGTGTAGGGAGAAGTGACAAGAGGGTGCTGACAACTGAAGTGTAAGAGAGCAAGATAGACCAGGGAGACAGAATATGCATTGGGGCTGTAGACCACAATTCTTCAGGAGCCCTCTTCACCAAAGACAGACAGAGTAGACAGCAAGGAAGAGGATAAGGACCCAAAGTCAGCAGCCACCTCCAGATTGGTACCACTTAAACATCACTTTCCAATGCAGACACCCAGAACACTCTGAACCACAAGATGGCAAAGACACAAAAGCAGTTGATCCATCGTCTGAGAATTCGTTATCCTGAGTCTGAGCAGGGGAGAGCTGAATAACTATCAGCTTATTATCTCTGTCATCACCCGTCATCCTACAAGAAGAAATGACTATGAAGTTGCATCAATAAGAAATGAATAAAAGATTGGAGCTGAAGACCTTAAGTACTTGTCTTTTGTCCATTGACCAGATAATTAGAACTGTCTGCATTACCAATAAAGCATGGTGTTTTGATTATTTTACTTAAGGACGTCTCTTTTTTGGTAATGACAAAAAAAAATTTAAGCCTGATTTTTCTCAATATATCTTTAAGATTTTTAGGTTGTTTCATATCTGGTTAGGTTGAGATTTTAGAGACCTTCATTTTTAACTAGGAGAGGAGGAAGGAGAAGGAGAAGAGGGAGAAGGAGGAAGAAGAGAAAGAGAAGTTGAGCATGGTGGCACCTGCCTATTATTATTGCTACTCAGAAGACTGAGGCAGGAGGATCACCGAGTTCAAGGCTGGCCTGGCAATTTATTGAGACCCTGACTCAAAATTAAAACTTTTTTTTTGAAGGGTTGGGGATGTAAGCTCAGTGGTAGAGTGCTTGCTTATCCCTGGTACTGAATTCATTCCCCAGTACCCACAAAACAAAAGGAGCAGAAAGTTAAGTATAGTAACTCACAACTGTAATACTGGCTATTTGAGAGGCAGAGATTGGGAAGATTATGGTTTGAGCCCAGCCTGGGCAAAAAGTTGGTGACACCCCCATCTCAATGTGGTGGCACATACCTGTCATCCCAGTTTTTCAGGGAAGCACAAATAGGAGGATCTGGTCCAGGCTGGCTGGAGCATAAAGTGAGACCCCATCTCAAAACCAACCAATGCAAAAAGGTCTGACAGAGTGGCTCAAAGGCTGAGAGCATGCTTCACAAGCAAAAGGCCATGAATTCAAACCCTAGTACCACCAAAAAATTAAAAAGACAAACTTCAAGTATCTAATTGACAAAGGTCTTAAATAGTTTTTTTTAAAAAGTTATACATGGGGAGTCAGGCATGGAGGTACACATCTATAATCCCAGCTACTAGGGAGGCAGAGGCAAGAGGATCACAAGTTTGAGGCCAGCTTGGGCAAAGCAAGACCAGCCTGAGCAGTAGCAAGATCCTATCTTAAAAATAAATACAAAAGGGCTTGGGGTGGGGCTAAAGTGGTAGAGTGCTTGCCCAGCATGTGAGAGGCCCTGGGTTCTGTCCCCAACACTGAAAAGGAGGCGGGGGACAGGTTCCCCTAATCCCTGTTTTGTTCTGTGGTCAACTGTGTGTACATATGTGTAAACAAATACATTTAAAATGTTTCTTAGCTTCAGTTCCCTGTTGAATTTGTTTCTGCGCTTTCTTGCTTATATAAATGGCACACTGTGGTCTTAAAAAATAATTTCTAAATTACCTCATAAGTAATTACCAACAGATGTTCCCTCTTCATTGTTTGTGTTTCTAATTTGTCTGTAACACTGGATTCAATCTACTAACTAAGGCCACAGTGTAGCCAGACTGACAAGAGCATTGACGATTTTGTTTAGTTTAGTTTTGTTTTGTTTCCAGTACTGGGCTTTGAACTCAGGGCTTCACACTTGCTAGGCGGGTGGTCTACTACTTGAGTCATGTGGTCCAGCCCTTTTTGCTTTAGTTATTTCTCAAATAGGGTCTTGCATTTTTGCCTGAGACCAGCCTCAGACCGTAATTCTACTTCTACCTCTGCCCTCCCGTGAGTAGTTGAGACCACAGATGTGCACCATCACGCCCAGCTTGGTTTGTTGAGATGGGGAATCTCACTAGTTCTTTGCCTGGGGTGGTCTGAAACCACTATCCTGTAGATCTCCACTTCCTAAGTAGCTTGGATTACAGATGCAAGCTACTGCACCTGGCCCGACAGTTTTTAATATTGCATTTACAGACTAAGAAGTAGATCATCAGGGCTGACTGCCATTGTGGCAAAAACTCCCTTCCACAAGTTCTCTGTGATTTGAGAATACCCTAACTGGTTTTGGAAATAACAGGAATGCAACTGGATTTATACGTTACAAATACCTGTTTTAAGTCCCAGAACTTCAGGGTGGGAACTCCTGCAGGAGTGCTACAGTAGAATGAGGACTACTGGGAAGAAAAAAAAACCCAAAAACCTAAACTTTTTAAGGGGCCTACCTAATGGTAGGGTATTTAGGGGTTTTTCTCTCTCTCTCTTTGCAGTGGTGTGCTGGAGCTGTCGTCTGCACACTCACTAGAATCTTTAACAAGATTGTTAACATTTTGAGATTTTCATGACCCAGTTGATGATGTCAGTAGCTTGAAGTAAGCTGTAGCAGGAATATTTATACCATGGAAACTGGCAACTACTACAAATCAGCTCCCCATTCCCAGAGAGCTGATTGTTAGATATTTATTAGCCCAATCACTGCTTGTCTGGCATGTCTACACTGCTCACAATTAACTGCTAATGAGGTAGACATTATAGGCAAGAAAACAGTCAAAAAACTTCAGGATTTAGAAAGAAATTATACAAGAGACCCAAAACGTCTGAAGCAGAAAGAAATCGCCAAGCCAGGAATAGGTACAGGTTGGCGCTGACCCTGAGTGTTATATCCAAGGAAGAAAGATGCTACTGAGAGGAAGGCAATGAGCTGATCTAAGAGGAATACCAAACTGAGGTTTAGAAGACTGTGGGAACAATCTCAATGAGTGACTAAGGAACTGAAGAGAAAACTCTATAGGGAACTCTGTAGGGAGCCCTTCCATACTTTTCCAACGTTTACTTCTCTCTACCTAGGTTAAGTGAATTTCATTCAAAGGAAATTCTGTCCCCTCAAGGAGGAAGGGTTTTGCTCAAACTTGAAGGCAAGAATTGAGCCATGTTTCCCAGAAGGCAAAGCTTTTAGAAAAGTTAAAAAGTCAACACACAAGGGTATGTTCATTTTCCTTCAGATTTACTTCTTAACAGTATCTGGAGTGCAAAGAGTCTTTGGCCATCTCCAGCATCCCGGGCCATGTGCTGTCCTGTTGTGGCACCTTCCTTTCTCTTGTAAAAGTTCAACTCAAGGCAGGAAGGTGCCCTGACCCCAAAAAGTGGGAAATCAATGCCAGTTCAACCACATAGTATCTAAAAGAGGTTCTAATTTGTTCTGAATCTGCATATGGAGCCAGCTAATAAGCAAGTGTTTCTCCATCAGTCATTGTCTGTGATGTACTTCTTTCAGGAACTTGAGGGGAGGTTTAGACCATGGTTAAGCTAAACCTGGATCCATGACACTACCTACTATGGTTTTCTCAGGGACCAAGGGAATGAAGAGCTCATACAATTTCCAAGAAGACAGGTATGACTACTATAGGTCCTGTGCTGTCTCCATTGAGCTCTTTCCGTGATATTGGACTGGGTCAGGAGACCTTGAGAGAAGCTCTTTGGCTGGGGTCCTGGAGGAGAATTGAACCTCCCTCCTTACATGCTGTTCTATTTTCTGAAAAGAGAAAAAGTGTGCGAAGGCACACAAAATCCCTCCTTTCTTGGAATGATATCTTCATTAATAATGAATCTGTAATACTTAGTCTATAATTGGCACTTGATAGATAATAGCTAACTTTGCAATATACTCCTTAATTATGTTTATAATGATGTTTGGTTTCCAAGACCAAAATATGGAGTTGAATGATGAGTAGATCAAAGGACATTTCTTCTGCTTCTCCTCAAATATTTTATCTTATTCTAGAATAATTAAAAAGGGGAGGAATTTGGAGCTGAGATTCAACTCTTCAAAATGTAATGAAAATGATGTTATTTTCAAATGCTTCCTTGGGATTTCCTGAGTTTTTACTTCCCAAATATCTTCATAGAGGAAAGCCTTTAGCTGAGTCATCCAACTGCTGCTTCTCCTCCTGCTAACATTTGGGAAGCCACTTGTAGCAGACTCTATTGAGTGTGTACCCCACAGCCAGCCCCCTTCTTCCTTGCTTATAGAATTTTAATTTTACACAGGTAGCAGGAGCAATGTGCTCAGGAAAAACTCCCTCAAGGAGGTGAATAATAATGAACTAACCACACTATTTTCCTTTATCACAGCTTGGTTTAGAGATGTGCATTTCACCAAGTTCTGGCCAATAAGATCTGAAAAGATGTCTGTTAGCACTTCTGCATAATGAGAGAGAGAAGTGTGAAGAGAAACCTCTACACTTCATTCCTGCTTTGGTATTGCATGTGAAGATGTGATTCTTGGAGTAGTGGCTGCCATCTCAACACCACAAGAAGGTCAAGAAGATAATGGAGAAGCTAATCCTAAATCCTGACATTGTTGGGCCAAATAATTAATGATGAATTATCTCAACACATTATTATGTGAGAAAGAAAGAAATTCTACCATTTAAACTCTTTATAGGTGTATATTCTACAACTTGCAACTGAAATCATACTAACAAATATATATTATCATTTCACAAACTTACCCCAAAACTGCCTTGGAGTGGTGGCAAGAAAATCCCATTGAAGGCACACTGGGAGTAAGGACAGTAACTGGTGTTGAAGAGATCAAGGATGCTTTCTTTGCATTTTTGATAGTCTCCAGTACCCTGGATTTGCAACTTATCAAATGGCAGAGTCTTCTCGAATCTCTTGGTACAGGGAGTCTTGTAAAGTTCACTCACATTCACTACCTTCTCATATCCAGGGTGAAAGCATGGGTCCCTGAGAATTCCGTTGCTTGAAACCTGAATGGAAAAATCACTCGAAGGAGTCACGTGTGAAGGCTTTGGGGGCAAAAGGCACAATCTGATGTCATCAATGTGAAAACATTGTGCAGTACCAGCATTGCATCAATATATTCCTGTCTTGCCTTTTCATCTTGAGAATAAGTTTAAAAAATTACTGAAGAGTCATCAGAAATGGTACTGGTATTAGGGTATTTAAGAATACTGATATGCTAAAGCTAGGCCCAGAAATGCCATTAGCTGGGAATGTTCCTGGGTGCTTAGTCCTAATTATATAGGCCATGATCAGAGTCACAAGAAAAACTCTGAAAGCTCTCAAAAATTTAAGCATGAGGGCAGATGTCCAGAAATCTGCACACTGTCCCTTCCTCTCCTCCCAAGCTCTTAGACCTGGAAGGTGCCTTAGGTCATGTAAGCCAGCAGTATAAAAATGAAAATTTTGAATCCCAAGACAAGAAAGAAGGCTACTATGGAAAAGAAGCTTCATGGATCTTTGAGGTTCCATGGGCATCTCTCAGCAACACCTACTCCCATGTTGGTCATTTTATCCATGGTGGTTTAAGACCCACAGAGTGCCTGGAGGAGAGTAGAGAACTAGCTGTCCTTTCATGGAAACTGAGAACAGCTGGATGTGACAACCTTGGTCTGTGTTTATTTGTCAGAGTGTGCCTAGTCCTCTCATCAAGTTGAGTGCTTAACTTTTCTTCCTTTAAAATGCAGAAAGCATCTGGGTACAAGATTTGAAGTGTGAATTAACAAATTCTAGTGCTTTCGCCAAAGTACCTTTTTCTCCTCCTCTACAGGTCATTTCTAACAATTCTGTTTTCTGGAGTTCATAGGAAAGGGAGGTTAAACAATGATCTAGAAGAGCTTATAAATTGCAACCCTTCCCCACAAGCAATTCTCTTTACATGTAACTTTCATTATCATCACCACTGGTGTGAAAAATTAATTCCTTCAAAAAGATCTGAGTTGTGTCCTTGGAGACCACACAATAAACAAACACAAATACAGGAGGGGATGTCTGGATGGACCGATTCCTACGGGTCGACCAGATGTAGCTTGATATTCTGTCAGAAAAGGCTTGGAAAGTACAGGAACCAGCTTCAGACCAATTACTGGATTAAAAAGAGGAAATAACAGGATGTGGGGGCTGAGGACCAGATGTGAGAAGGGCAGGTCTGAATTCGGTTATACTTGCCTGAATGTCCTTGGCCAGTTTCTGCCAGAGCGCTTGATCTTTCCCATAGCACAAGAAGCTGTGTGTATATACAAGGTAGTCCTTGCCATAGAGGCGAAATTGTAGAGAGTTTTCTGGGGACTCCATACTGTAGTTTAGGGGCACAAAAGTGATTTGTGTGGAAGCGCCCCCAAGGTCCAAGGCGCCGTAAGTTTCATCACCATAGTTATCATGTGAGACAAAGCTGAGCCAACTGAATGTCTAAAAGAGAGTACAGTTATTAGTGCTAGAAATCTGAATGTCCCATTTTCACACAATTTCTTGGACTCAGGAACTTCCTAAGGCAAGAAGCAGGGGCAGAAAGGTAAGGCAAAGTTCACTGGAGGCTCCTGAGTCAGCATCAAATCAACAGAAAGAAAAAAGGGACTTCAAAGAGTTAGTGAGACTGCAGCAACATGGAAGTAGTATAACTATGTTTACAAACAAGGGGTCTGAGGCTGGGCTGACTCAAGTTCAAATCCCCACTCAATCAGTCACGAGCTGTGTGATCTTGGGCAGAATAATTACCTTTTTAGGCACTAATATTGGGCTCTAAAATAGGGATAACAACAGTAGCTAATGCTGTTGTTTTGAGGATGAAGTCACACAACACAGAAAAAGTACTTAGCATAGCACAAGGCAAATATTAACTATTCTTTTTAGTTTGTCTTGTTTTATTTGAGATCAGGTCTTGCTATGTTATCCAGCTGGTTTTGAATTCATAGTCGTCCTGCCTCAGCTTCTTGATTAGCTGGATTACAGGTGTGTACCACCATGCCCAGTTATTTTTAATAAGATTAAACTGATCTTAAATAAAATAGATTATTATTCCCCTTATGTCCCCCCTAAAGTGAAGACATGGCTCCCATATTCTCCAGTAGCAAAGGTTCTTGTAAGATAATTATAACTCTAAAGATCTTTACAAATGTAGGAAGTTCATTCATTAATCCATCACTAATTCTGGCTAGTGACTCAAATATTGCCTGAGACAGAAATGACATTGGCAGTGAGGGAGCCACCTCCTTGAGTTCTATGAGGTATTCACCTGAGTGAATTTGCCCAGCAGATAGTTGATAGTAATCCATCCATAAGCACCTTCCTCCTGGCCAGTGATGATCCTGGCACCCTGGAAGTCAAAGGGGTAGTTGCTAAGGCTCCTTGATACTGCATCCAGGACCCTTTCTGCCGATTGTTCACTTTCCATTCTACACAAAAGAAGAGGTGAGGTTATCATTTTTGTATTAATAACTACACCTACCCGTTCTGCTAGAGCATCTACATAACGCTTCAAGAGGTGAACCAGAACACAATGGAATAAGTGGAAACATGGGCATCCCTACACATGCTGTCAAAGGAACCCTCCTTTAGGATGAGGCAGAGATACTGTTCTGTATCTTGCTCTCCAAATCCAAATTCTTTCCATCCTTGAATAGATTGGCCTTTCTAAAATACCATTTTTGCTTTGTTGTTCCCTGGCTCAAATAATATAAAAGGCTCTTAAAATTATTCTGGTGGAGGTAGTTTTGTATTGTCTTATCACATTAGATCTGATGTGTGCTATATTAGCCATTACTGGTAATTCCTAGCTGGTTACGCAGTTAGACTCTGCTTGATGTTAATTAGGGTTGTAGTAAAAAGCAGGGGGCAAGTGACCAGGGACAGGTACCCAACCTCCACTGCTGCTAGACTGGGAAAAATCTCCCTCATATTACCACTTAGTTATTGAGTATGTTTGAGACCATGAGCCCTAAATATAAGGAGTCTTCCAGAGTTGTCATAATGAAGGTGCAATTGCTTCCAAGACCTAGGCTATGTGACACTAAGAGCCTGTGAGTGAGAGGATGCTACCTTTCTACTGTGATCTCCCATCTGAATGGCTTCCATGCCCACTAACTGCCTTCCTTTTATGCCTAACTTTTCCCCCTCCAATCCATCTTTTCTACCGCAGTCACCAATTGTAAAGCCTCTCCAAACTTTCTAGCATGGTCAACAAGACACTTTATGATCTGGACCCTGCCTTTTCAGACTCCAATTCAGAGCCTTGGTGGAAGACCAGATATGTAACCCTGGGTGAGTTACTTAACATTTGTAAGCTACAACTTCCATTTCTGACTAATAATACTGATAATTTATTTTACTTCACAGAGTTGTTATGATGATTAAAACTGTGTTAAAGTGCTTAGCATAGTACTAAGAACGTAGCAAGGGCTCATAAAATATGAGATACTATTATTATTATTTGATAATATTTACCCTATCTTCTCTCTATGCAGAAACACAATCCTGTGAATTATGCCCTGGCCCCTCTCATTTTCCTGCCTTTGTACATCCATTTAAACCAAATCCAATGAAGTCAGGGACTTTGTCCTGTTGACTGCTGCATCTCTAGTGCTTAAAACGGTGCCTGACACATAATAGGTGCTAAAGAAAAGTGGGTTGCTAAATGAATACTGCCTGCTCTCCTGTAATGTCTTACCTTGCCCTCCAACTTACCCTGCATGATTTAGTTCATGCATCCCCTCTACTGACCACTTCTCATCCTGGGTAGGGCCAAGTGCTTCTATAGCAGCTTTGAGCATTCCTTTATTAAAGCGCAACTCACCCTGTATGGGAACACTGATTTCCTAGAGGGCTGAGTCACCTACTGGCATATTATGGACAGAGTAGGCACTCACCATACACTGAAAGACTGAATGAACAAGTGGCCCTCTCCCATACCTTCAGAAGCTCTTGTTCTGCTTCTCACTCTTGGCCCCTTACATGCTACCGTACCTGAGTAACCGCATGCCTGCCGTGGCTCCCAGATAAACAGGTGTCTCTTGGTGCTGGGAACTTGGGATCACTTTCTTAGACCTTTCCATGCACTCAGTCAGGTATGTGTCTATTTCATTTGATTTATTGATATATTTTGAGATTCCAGGGCCTAGGGAAAAATATAGAAAATTATAATGTTTTACAAAAAAAAGTAGAGGGCATTCCTCAACAAAAATTAGAGCAAAATATGGTGTTTTCTGAGGAAATAAAAGAAAACAATTAATTTCCTGATGCGATGTATAGCAGGTTGTCTTTCTGCCTGGTGTTCAATAATTTTGCCACTGGATGGAGCAATTTCATATTCAATTGTGTAACAGCTCCTCTCAGATTTTGAAGTATAGATTTTTACAGATCATTACTCTATTAGCTGCTTTTGGATGATTCTTTCACAAGGTTGTAATTAAGAATACCTAAATAAGTATGACATTTAGAACAAAAATTAAAATAAGTGTTAGACACATTGGCTTTTACTGAAAAGATAGAAGGTGTTACTAAGTAGCTATGTGATCATGGCCTGTGCCCTAAAATTTCTGAGGCAGAATTTCTTCCTTTGTTAGAAGAAATAGGAATAGAATCTATGTCTCCTTAGTGACTTTTTCCACTCCAATACTCTGCCTCCCTAGTAAAACTGTTATTCCAATTTTAGAGCAAAACTAACTGTTGCTATGGAGAGAATTGGAGCCAAGATTCCTTAAGCTTTTTGAAATTAACATTCAACATTTCCCTTTCACACTAAGATAAATATCACACTATCAATGTTTCAAAGGAGGATTTGCTTACAGATAATGATTCAAGTAAGTTAAACAGATCATTCACAGGTTTTAAAACAGCCTGTTTATTTAATCATAACGAGAAAATTAGCTCTAAGTTATCAACTATTTGGATTCAGAAAATCTGGCCTTAAGGATTGCATTAGTACACCGTATGCATGTATGGAATGAAATCTCCTTGTATTATTAATGTATAATAATTCAAAAATAAAATTAAAATATTTTTAAAAGCATTTCATTAATTCTTTTGAGAGGGGAAACTACTGTATTTGTTAGGCTGAACAGTCATGCATTTGTTGGTGAATTTCAGAAGAAAGACATCTGCTAGATTAAAAAAAGCTTTAAAAATGGAAGACAATGAATTAAATAGAACCCAATAAAATGAGGGTTGGGACTTTAAGAAATACAAGAATATTGTCTTGGTATTGATGAGGCCACTGGATAGAATGGCTTTCTTAAAAATAACTCCTCTCTACTACTTTCTTAACAAATTACAAAAATTTGTGGACTTCCACAGGTCAACAGACTAAAAGTCAATTTTTTCTAAGATCTAAGTTAACTGACTGAAAATACCTGGCCCAAAAGGCCAAGAGAGATAAAGGTCAAAATGATTATGGTGTCATGTAGTGATGTCTGTGTCTGGTGGGGTACCTGGTGGAGGGGGTGGAGACAGCCAAACTGTCAACAACCCTTCTTGGATTGTAACCTTAAAAGAATACTGATTAGAAAAAAACCAGTATGAATACAATGGTTCAGCATAGCAGGAAGCCTGGAGTGCAGTTTAGGAGACCTAGATTCTTGGCCTGGTTTTGCTGCTACTTGCAAGGCACTAAACCTCCAGGGTTTTGTTTCCTTCTCTGTAAAAGAATTTAAATGACCCCAACCCTAAGAGTCTGTGATCTGATCTTTCCTGCCTATACAGAGTCTGAAGACTTTTGAAAATGTCCTCCAAGGTGCAGCTTAGAGGACAAAGATTAAGAGAGCAGTAGTAATTCTCTGGGCCAGCAGCCTCACCATCACCTGGAACTTATTAGAAATGCAAATTCTCAGGCTTGTCCTGTGCCTGTTGACTCAGAAACTCTGGGTGGGGCCCTGCATCTGTGTTTTAAAAGTCTTCTGGTGGCTCTAATGCCATTTTAAGTCTGAGAACCAGTGGCTTAATTGTGGGGTTTAAGTCAGGCAGGCCTTGGTTTGAACCCCAACTCCTACACTTAATAGTTCAAGCAGCTTTAAACAAGAGGTATAACTCATCTCAATTTTGGTGCCCTCATTTTTTAAAAATAGGAACAATAATACAAACCTCAATGGGAGATTATGAGGATGAACTGAACATGTGCAGTACTTAGTCCATGCATGACATGCAAAAGTACCCTGTCCATGGGAGCAATTGCTCAAAACTTTTTGGTTGTTTATTTATTTATTTATGTGCATGTGCATTCTGGGAATCAAACCCAGGGCCTGATCATATTAAACATGCACTCTATCACTGAGCTTCCGCCTCCCAATTATTTTTTATTTTACTTATTCATCAAAAGCTTGATCATTAAGAACTGATTTCAAAATTATTTTGTAATCATAATAAAAATAAAATGAAACAATAGCAGCTCCACTGTGTCCTTTACTTAGCTTCCTATGCTTGGAGCTCTTTTTTCTCTTGTGTTCTACTTGCCATACCTCTCATATTCTCATCCCCCACTGTCTCCCCTTCTCTTTTCTTCATCTTACCTTTTACTTTACATTCTTCTATCTGATGCACCACCCCTGTGTCATTCTCCTTTTCAGCTGGCCACTTATAGATGTACAAACTTGTGTGAGAAGAACCTGCATCCAGTACAATCCCATACTGAGGACACAAATAAAACTTATCAGTTTCACATTATTTTTCTCCATATACATCTTGGAACAAAACGGGGACAGTGACAGGAATTTTCAAAAACATGAGGAGAAAGCATTTTAATTCAAGAGGAACACTGGGTGGGGCTGGAGGCCAGAGCTACCCTGATCACAAGAACTACCAGGACACTCATCCCTCTAGAACCTGCTCTTAATGCTGGCTGCACGTTAGAAGTAGTCAGGTCTTAGCCAGGGTGGGGCCTGAGAAGCAGTTAGTTAGAAGCCTCCTAGGAGATTCTAGTGTGTAGCCAAGATTCAGATCTACAGCTGAAAGAGGAATGGAAAGCAATTCGTCCAGTAGTTCTTAAATTCAGCTACACACTGGAATCATCTGGAGGGTTCCAAGGGCTGGTGCCAGTATCTCATCCCTAGATGCTGTGATCTAATGTGGCCTGGGTTTTGGAATTTTTAAGAGCTTCCATACAATTCTAATATGCAGACAGTTTGGGAACTAGTGAGTTAATTCATTGAGGGCTACAGAGACATAATAAATACCTTCATCTAATTTGAGTTAAGTGGATGTGAAATTATTTTAAAGAGGCAGAAAATACTAAGTGCACCTGCTTTTTAATTATAAATATAACTATATTCAGCACATTTAAAAGATATATATTATATATATACTTTTTGTTTTCAGCTCTGTAAGAGAAAGGAAAAGATTAAAGAAATAAAGCAGGGAGAAGAGGAAAAAGACAGCATGAAGAACTAGATGGTCAGAAAGGGGTCAGTGACAAACAACCCCCCCATCATATTTGATGAGTACATTAAATGTACCAGGCAGGTATTATATGAAGCATTTTATATATAAATTACCTAACTAACCTGTCAGAACAGTGCTATAAAAAGTAGGTAGTATTTTTAATCCCTTCTATACATAGGTGAGAACTTACAAAAGAAGTTAATTTTCTCAATATACATAGCAGATAACAGAACCAAAATCTAACTCAAGAATCAGACTCAAGGTATTATGCTTATGACCTTATTCACAGAAACATAACATCAAGAGCCAGGCAATAGTTTTCAAGTTAGCACCCCTTTTGAAAGACGACAAACAAGGTATAACTATAGCAAAACTTACATATGTAAAATATGAACCTTAGTGAAGTTTTACATATATGCACCTCTATATGACTAACAGCAACATCAAGATACAGAACATTTTCTAGCCCCCAACAGGTTTCCTGATGTCCTTTTTCACCCCAAGGGTGACCACTGTGTTGACTTCTATCATCATGGATGAGTCTTTTCTGATTTTGAACGGCAATAAATGGGACTCACTCACGTGATGTGCTTCCTGTATGTCTAACTTCTTTCACTCTATGTCTATAAGATGCATTCAAACTATGGGTGTCAGTAGTTCCTCCTTTCCCAGAGGTGTAGAGTTTTCATGATATGCATACACTGTATACTTCTATATGTTCTACTGGTGATACACATCTGTGTTATTTCTAATTGGAGTTTTTTGGAATATATAGCTGTCAGAAACATTCTTGTGCATCTCATTTTGTGGAAAAAAGCTTTTGTTTTCTCTGGTTATCTACCTGGGGTAGATTGCCAAATGTCCATTTTCATCTCTGGATATACATTTTATAATCCAGAGCCTAATTAGAGGGAAATGCTATGATTGACATCTGCCATGGGCTTGTGAGGACAATGTGACTGCACACATAGTTTTCATCATCTCTGTATTAAAGAAAACTTGGAGGGAAGTAAATGGAGAAAAAAAAGCCACAGAGGCAGAGGAGGCACTTCTGAAATGTGAGCCACTCCTTGCCATACTTGGCTGCACATTTGAACTACATACATCCAAATATGATCTGCCACTTGAAAATACTTAATTTATCTATATAATACATATATAATAAATTGACTTATAAGATATATATTCTCTCAGGTTTTCTTATCATGTAATAAGACCTAGTCACCTCCAGGGAGAAAAAAGCAAGAATGAGGATTTAAGAGGCCTCCCTGGACCACTAGGAGTAGCTAAAGGGAGAGCCTCTTAAGTGTCAAACTGTATTCCAACTCACTACAGACCAGGAAGTATCACTGTTGAGCCCTCCTGAGGGTCCTTGACCCTCTACAACCCCCTAGCCATTCGCTGCTTTGCTATGCACAGTGGGCAGTCCTTCTAGTGATTGGTGTTATGCCCTTAGAAAGAAAAAGGCCTCTATATTTGTTCTGAGCACAACAAGGAAGCAAGCTAGACTCCTCTGCAGCTAGACTTGCAGAAAGGATCCAAGAAATGGCTTAGGTGGCGGCTATTGTGGGGAGAGTGGGATACTGATAAAGATGACTTTGGATCCGTGGGAAACTTCCCACAGGGAGAAAGAGGCTCCAGGGTTAACGATAGAAAATTCTGTTGTTCCCTTAGCAGTGCCCCTGGATTCTGCCTGCCAGGAAATGTTCCAGCCACAGCAGCATATGATAAAAGTTAGTGAGGCAGCAGTGAGCAGCCTTTATCTGGAATCAGGACGTTCTATTCTAACTTTGTTGACATCAAAGTCCCCCTTCCAGCAGATCCAAGAAGCCAGCCCTGCTTCTATCAGCTGTCTCGAAGGCCTCACATGGTGAGGCAGTGGAGAGATGAAAGCTTTATGACATTTGGTTTGCAAGTATTTAAGAAGGGAGTACAGTGTACTTAAACACAGGAATTGAGGGCATTTCTCGTTCTGTATACAGCTAGCCTATTGAACGGTGCCAAATGTAGAAGTTTTTTGCCTTGTTGTTTTTGCCTCCTATAATGTTTTGTAGAATAAAAAATTCGCATTGCTTGTTGAGAGACAGCTAAAGCTTGATTGAAAGTTTTCAATTTGAGCATTTGTGTGGTTTGCCTTTCATGGTTACCATGTCCAGCTAGAGCCCAGATAGCCTCTGCCTTTTGTTCTCTTTCTACTACCATAGTATTTTCCAATTCATGTTCCAGAAAGTAAGAGGCCTTCTGCAAAGACCTCAGCAAATAAACTTTCCCAGAAGTTTGTGAAGGTGCATGCCTATAATCCCAGCTACTTGGGAGGTAGAGAAACAGAGTCATGGTTTAAGGCCAACCCAGACAAAAAGTTAGCAAGACTCCATTTGAACAAATAAGTAATTAAATCTATGTGAGAGGCATAGATAGGAGGATTGTGGTCTGAGGCCAACTTCAGGCACAAATATGAGGCCCTATCTGAAAAACAACTAAAAACATTTTTTAAAAAAGATGAGGAGGCTGGGGACCTGGCTCAAGCAGTAGAATGACTACCTAACAAGTGCAAGGCCCCAAGTTCAAACACCAGCACTGCCAAAAAAAAAAAAATGAAGTTTGGGGAATGTTCCTGCTCTCTGCCTCCTGGACTCACTATCCATAGCTCTTGAGTGTCTTATAGAAGTCTGGCTGTGGAGAAACACAGTGTCTCTTATTTAAAGCATTTTTAAAAGTCTCAATGAATATGTCGTTCATATAATAAAGAAAAAAACTCAAAGATTCAGTTGGTGAGGAAGAGATCTGACATCCCTTAATGTCATGTCAATATTATTTTCTATTTTAAGGGGGCTAAAAGTTTATTAAATATCACCCAGGAAATGAAGGGGGAAAAGACATTTAAGATTTCACCTAGATATTTTTATTAATAATAAAATAGTAAAGTATTATTATTTATTTCCTTCATCTTTTAAAATTCATATTATTATAATTATTATTTTACAGTTTTGTCCTAAGCTAAGTTTTTAATTATGCACGTGACTTTAGTGATCATAACAACTGAGCTTCATGAGAAGTGGTGGCCTACAGAGAGGAACAGTATAAATGACCTTTCTTGGCTTGGGGGCCACCAGTTTGGGGTCCTTATGAAGACCTAAAAATGTAGACAGCAATGAACCTGAGCTCCCTGAGACTGTAGTACACATGGACATAGGACAGACACCCTTTAGGATGGAAATAATCCTACCTGCTTAACTGTCGTTATGAGGCTTCTGGTAGGTCTCCTTAGATGTGGAACAAGAAAACTGGATGTTGGATGGCCTGTTCCCTGGCTTTGCAGAAGTGGGACACTGAATTCTCTTGTATGAGTTTTCACTCAGAAAACACCTGCTGTGGCACATGCCCACTTAGAGTTGTCCATACCCACACAGTTTCTGTTCCAGGGCCTGTGCCCAGAAAGCCCTTTACCTGAGATTGAAGCCTTCTCTGATCTCTGATTAGATTGTACCTTCATAATTAGAATACCTGTATTGTTCCTCTAAAGATAACAGTAAGCACATAGTGCAATTACATACTAATGTTGCTATTTGATTATGTCTGACTTCCCTATTAGATTGTAAGCTACATGAGGACAGGTCTACTTTACTTACTATGGCATATCCAGCATCCTTCATGGTATATCCCTGCTATATATTAGGCACCAAAAAAAGGGATTCAACAGCTAATTGTTGAATGAAATAAATGAATGGGGGGAATGGAACTGTATGGTTCCTAAATTTCTCCCAATTCTAAAAAAAAGATTAATAGTTACAGTATAATATAAAGTAGTGACATTGGGTTGTTCAGTGCTACTCCCCTGTGTATGGAAATATGGTTTAAATATTTTCCCCATCAATACTCATGTATTGGGTACTCCCCAATACAATCACATTATAAGGTGGGGTCTAATGGGAATTATTAAGACGAGAAGGCTCTGCTTTTATTAATGACACAATAAAATGGGCTTTTAGAAATGGATCTGCCTTCTTCCACTCTACTGCCATATGAGGAACAGTGTTTCACCCTGATTAAGATGTAGTAATCAAGATGCCATCTTGGAAACAGAGACAAAACTCAGGCCTTGATCTAGATTCCCAGTCTCCAGAACTGTGAGAAAATAAATTTCTATTCTTTATAAGGTACTCTCGTCTGCAATGTTCTGTCATAGCAGCTCAAAACTATGACACCAGGCAACATTATGATCATTAACTGTACAGAGTCCCTTAAGAAATATTGGTCCTTTTAAAACTTTCTTTGAAGTTCTAATAGCTTTAGCAGTAACTTCAGCAGCCTTATCAGTCCATTGCAATGAGCCTTGGTTTGTAAACAAAGCTTATCTTTTTGCATGTGATTCCAATACTCTATTAACAAAGAAGGTTAGCTAGAGATGCTAGCAGGGCCTATAAATATGTAGAAACTATTTTATTCCTTTCTTTTTTCTGTAAATTGAGTTACTAAATCTTTAATACAAACTACTACTTGTTGCTATTTTTAAAACTGTGGTAAAATATACATAACACAAAATTTACCATTGTAACCATTTTAAAGTACACAGTTCTATGGTTTCAAGTACATTCACATTGTTATGCAACTACCACCACCATCTATTTCTACATACTATTTTCTTTTTAGACCAGATAAGGCTAAAATCCAGTAGAATAAAAATAATACCAATGTTTTCCAAGAGCATTTAACACTGCAAATTGGAGCAAATCCTTCAAGATTCTTCCAGATCCTTCCAGATTTATCTTCTAGATAAAATCACATGTACTAATCCAGGAGTAGCACTTTAGCTCATCTTGTAAAAGCAGAGCTTCCCCTTTATCAGTGGTTGGAAACCCTACAGTGACAATGCCATGCTAATGGCATAGGGCCTTCCACAGAATGCATCTTCAGTAAGGTAGTGTTGACAGCTGGCCTCTGCTGAGGGTTTCTGAAGTTCTGGACACTCCAATAAGCAAGTCACTTGTTTTACTTCATTTAATCCTCAAACCATCCTCCAGGTAGGTACTATCACTGTCTCCACTTCACATATGAGGAAACTGAGGCTTAGTTAGAGGGAGGAATTTATTTGTCCAAAGTCTGCTACAAAGAGACAGATCTGGCCCTTGAGCCTACATTCCTTGGAAGTGTTGACTTTGAATGAAGGCACATGGTTTGCTATTGGGCTAATCTGTGTGCCAAAGTATGAACTGTTCATGCTAAAAGGACTGACAATACACTAACTGCCAGCAATCAGTGATAAGCAGGCAATTAAGCAGTGATGAATGAAAAGACTTCAAAGTCACCTCTTCACCTAGGCCCCTTGGGACAAAGGCAATTTCTGAGGATAGATTTAAGTATAGCAGTGACTGTCTACCTCATTAAGGCCTATGGTTTTTTTAAGTGGTGCATTTCTAGTATTCCAGCACCTATAGACAGTGGTTCACTGACTTCAGTGGCATGGGAATGCCCCAGGATGCTTGTTATACATGTGGATTCCTGGGCCTGGGCTCTGAAGGTTCAGATTGAGAAGGCTCTAGGGGTGAGAGTAGGTATGTACCAGGATGTTTAGAGGATCCTGAACTGTGGTCTGCCCCTTGCACTGATACCACCTGCTATCAGGTTGGTCTTGTGCTCTTCATAACCAAGAAGGGAGCTGTCCTATCTGTTCAAGATGCTCACTCAATTCTCTGAGTCAGTAAATTTCTATGGATCAGCCATCAATTTAGATGCTGTGCGGGTTTGTAATTTGACATTTATTTTGTGATTATTTGATCAATGATCATTTTCCCTACCAAACTATAAGCTCTAGAGGGGTAAGGATTTTGCCAATCTTTCTCATTGCTATATCTCCAGAACCTAAAATAGATTAGATGCTCAATGACTATTTGTTAAGTGAATAAATACATTAAAATGTATGCAAAAACAAATGAAACCTAATCTCTGTCCTCAACATATAACCTACTAATAGTTGGCCAAGAAAACACATCAGTACAATAAAAAGCTCTTGCTGCATTATGGCAGATGTACCTAAAGCATGAAGCCACCACCTGGTTCAGAAAGGCTAAACCCATATTGGGTCAGGCAGAAATAAATGGTACATACCATAATCTCAGCTACTCAGGAGGCAGAGGTAGGAGAATCATGGTGATTAACAAACTAAAACAAAAAGAGCTGAGGGTATGGCCCAAGTGGTAGAGTGCGTATCTAGCAAGCAAGAGGCTCTGGTTCAAATCCAGTACTGCAGCAGCAGGGAGGCTAAATCATTGGCACAAAACAAATATTCTGAGTACAAATATTTAATAAGTGTTATCTTTTAAACAGTCATTTTCAGAAGCAAATACAGTAAGCCTGCCATATTCACAGGTTCTACATCCATGAATTCAACTAATTGTACAGCAAAAATATTCAAATAAAAATTCTGTAGTGAATATATATAGACTATTTTTTCTTATCATTATTTCCTAAATAATATAACAACTATTGACATAGAATTCACATTGTATTATGTATAAGTAATCTAAAGATGAATTAATTATACAGGAGGATGTGAATTGGTTATATACAAATGATACCCTATTTTATGTAAGAGATTTGAACATCCACAGATTTTGAAATCCATGGGAGGAACCCTGAAACCAATCCCCCACAGATGCTGAGAGACCACTGTACATTTATTCCAAAAAATCACTCAAAACAGTTTAGTGGTTCATGATATTTACTACAATCCTGGTATTAGTTTACAAACCACACAATAAAAAATGTTTCATTTTTTGTTCCTTATTTTAAATTGTATAAAACATTTTATCATATACCTTATTCATTCAACTTAGTTTTGAATGACTTCAGAGATATTATCAAAGAGTATACATGGAAGCAGCAATATCCAACAGAACTTTCTACAATGGTAGAAATGTTCTATGTCTGCATTATCCAATATTTTCCCCTAATATGTGCCAGAAATCTAACTAAAATTAGTGTATAACCTCAACAAATGGCTAATTACCATATGTAAAATTGTCTTTGTGTAAAATAAGTCAGTGATATTTCCATAAAGATTCACTTTAATGCCAGTGGCTGTTCTTCAAATACCCATACCTTTTGTTTAAAGAATGCCAAAGACCTTTTTCCATTTTGTCAGGCCTACATAACAACACAGAAGCACAACAGACTTGAGGACCACTGTGAATGATGGACAGTCATCCATGACCACAAGTATTCACTGGAAACACAGAGCTCAAGTGTGTCATGAGTTTTGCCTCCTAGGCAGTCCTTCTCTCCAATAATGCAATACTGAACATGCAAAAAGGTCAAATCAAGAAGGCAATCGTGTACTTTTGGAGCTGGTAAACAAATAGCAAAACCAAGATGTCGTTAGGCTTCAACTGTGAGTGAAGTTTTGCCAAGAGAACCAACATCGCTTAATAGTAAAAGGCAAGAGACCATCAACAATGAGACAGCATCCGCCTTCTGTCCTGACAAAGCAGCTTCTGTACACAGCCCCACTGGGTTGAACTTGTGTGACAAAAGAATGCCAATGTAACACCCACAGCTCTTCTATATAGCTAATGGATGGGGTGCGTGGCAAAAGTTTCAGAAGCCTGGCATATACATCTCTCTTTCCAGAATCATACATCATCACCTTCAAATACAAGAGAATATGTGTCTACACAAGTGTTCCAGGACCTCTCTGTTAACTTCCAAATATGTACTTATGTGGTCATTAGCATATTGGTATCACCTGGGCCCTCACAAATAGGTTTACTATCATTTCAGTGAAAGTTTAAAATGGCATGGTTACAATGGAATATTGCTCATCCATAAAGAAGAATAAAATTATGTTTGCTTGCAGGAATACAGATGGAACTAGGATCATCAGGTTAAGCAAAATAAGTCAGATCCAGAAAGACAAATATCACAGTTTCTCTCATACGCAGAATCTAGATTTTAAAAACAACATGAAAGTAGAAAGGGGACTATTTGGAGGCACACAAGGATTTAACTTGCCTTAACATTTTCTGGCAGTGGTTTGTTCTGGGTCATGCCCACAGCAATCAAAGCTATCACGGCTATGATAGAGGAGAAGCCAAGGATGACCAGGATGTTTTTGGAGCAAAATCTCTTCACTTCAGAATCTAAAACCAAAATCAGAAGACAAAAATATCAACAAGAAATCAACAAAGAGTGTTTTTCCTCACCTTTCTGTCTGGTCTTGTGGTGGTTATCTGGAGAGCACCAGAGACATTGTTTTTAAAAGATTATCTTTATTCATCAGGTACTTGCAAAGTAATGGGAATGATTCAAGAACAAAAGAATTTGTCTGTACTGTGATGAAGGCCAAGACTCAGTTAGTGGTTATAGAACTGAGAATGCACAAAACTAGGTCAGTGATCAGATACAGAATGAGAGGAAGTGTGTCAAATTGGCAGTTTTCTTAGTAGGTCATGTAAGTCTATCAAAATACAAGTAACAACAAAAATCAAGAATAGACCTCCTTATTTTTAAAATTTACCAGAAAATGTTTAATATATTAAAAAATATCAATATATTTCACCTGACATAAAACTCCAATATTCTAGGGCATTTCCTGACTTGACATACATCTTGTATTTCAACCACCCTTATGTGGTAAACAATTGGTAATAGGTTAGAAGCTAAGGAGTTTTGAACATTTCAGGTCGTCATTCACATTATCTTACCCTATCAAGGACATAAAAAACTCTACTAGAAGAACTATATAAAACTTACTTCAATTGGATTTAAGCAGATCATATAGAGGAAGTGAATAGGAAATGAAATGATTGCACCATCCCCTACATTCTGACAACTATTCCTTACTCAATTTCTCTAACCTCAAATTTTTTAAGTTTTGGAGAAGAAGAACAGGATAACGTACTAAAGAAATATATGTAAATGAGATGGGTTCTGCACTTCTAAGGATGGAAGGTGGGATCAAGCCAGTTGAAAGATGAGCCCAAATTTCTTCCCCTTCTTTCCCCCTTGATCAACAGAAGCTGGGTGGGCACTGGGGAGTCACCATCATGCTCTTGAGAAGAAACTTGGACTTTATCCAAGTCCAAGTTATAGAGCTCTATAACTGTATAGCTCCCCAGAATCTTGAAGCAGTCTTAATCCACCAGATCAAACAGTGCAAAACATAGGATAAAAAGTTTTACCATACCATTATCGATTGCTTCCAAGAAAGGAATAGCAGAAGAAATATACATCACTTCTCACTTCTCAAAAGAACCTTCATTTTGTTCAGATACCTGCCTTCCCCCCAAGGATGGACCTGACCAGTCTGCATAATCTCATGCCCTCACGAGTGACTGTTTCTACAATGTGTAAAGAATATGAGGGGTCATGGACCGTCAGTTTACAATCCAGTTAGGAAGTGAGATAAGTCAGAAAAGGAGTATGTGAATAAGTGATTTCAGGTCATTATTAGTGCTAACAAATTAAAACCAAGGAATGTGATAAAACAATTTCAGCAGACTTGGGGATGGGGGAGAAAGCAGCAGATAAGGGGTCAAGAAAACCTCTCTGAGTAGATGACACCTGAATGATAGGAAAACATTGGATACAATAAAAACATCCCAGAAAGAGGGAACAGAAACTGAAAAGCCCTGTGGTAGGAACCAGCTTGATGTTACTATAATTATTTCTTCATTTTCCTAATGAAAATATTTGCTGCCCCCTTATTATCACTGAACTGTTGGATGCATGCTTTTCCACATTTGCCCAAATTTTGCAATGATATCCACATTTCTAGAATATATTCAAGTCTTTCATCATATTATTTCTTTTAAAGATATCAGAAAAAGAACTTAAAAAGTATAAGAATTTTCTATGCATAATTTTCAAAATCTTTATTGTAAAAAAAAAATGACTGTTTGTTCTTTATGTAACTAGATTACCCAGACAGGAGTAACTAAAATGCTATGTCTTTCAAGGACTATATGGTAGGCAGTTTCAAAAGCTCTGATCACATGTAGGAAACCAGACTCTTCTCAGGAAGTGGTGCTAGACGAGGAGGTCCAGGTTGACATATCCAGATGTACTCATAAAAAGGGAACCACTGGGCTGGGGGTACAGCTCAGACGTACGGTGCTTGCCTTGCACATTCAAGTACCTGGATTCAATCTTTAGTACTGCAAGAAGGGAAAGGAAAAAAGGGGGAACAACAGAGGTTGCTGCTGCCCCCCTCTTAAGCCACCAGAACTCTTTCAGATCAGTTATACTAAAGTTTTATTATAGAAAATTCACACTGGCTGAAAAGCCCTTTGTTTGACTCATGGTTAACAGAAATGTGGTTTCTATCATACAATGTAAATGATATTCAGAAAATAATTTCAAAAATAATTTTACCAAATATATACAATCAGGTAGTGTTGGGGGGGGGTTAACCTTTGAATTGGCTCACTATACCAGAGAATTCAAAGCTCTCACCTCCTTCTTTTTTTTCCTTTCATGTGACAAGTGAGAGGCTCTTTCTGTTTAAAATGAGAGAGTCAAGGCCAGGTAAGAACTTCAACTATTCACTAGACAGAAAAAGAAAGAAAGAAAGGAAGGAAAGAAGGAAGGAAGGAAGGAAGGAAGGAAGGAAGGAAGGAAGGAAGGAAGGAAGGAAAGAAAGCAAACCCAAGCTTTGAGAAAACACAGACTGATTTAAAGCCAATTACGTATGTCAAAAGCAAGAAAAAAAACCTGGTTCCTTTGATTCTTGATTTTTTTTTTTTAAACAGTTAAGTTTTGAATCTCAGATTAGCAAATACTGAAGAGGTTTTTTTTTTGGTTTTTGGTTTTTTTTTTTTTGGTTTTACCTCTAACCTTGATGTGTCATGTGATTTTTTTAAATTCATTCATTCATATGTGCATACATTGTTTGGGCCATTTCTCTCCAGCCCCCTCACTCTCCTCCCCACTCCCCTCGCTTCCAGGAGGAAACTGACCTGTCCTCTTCTCCAATTTTGTTGAAGAGAAGACATAAGCAATAAGAAGAAAGACAAAGTATTTTTGCTAGTTGAGATAAGGATAGCTATACAGAGAGATTCCTAGCATTGCTTCCATGCACAAGTGTATTACAACCTGAATTGATTCATCTCTACCTCACCTTTTTCATTAGTTCCCGATCACCTTCCCATATTGACCTCTGTCGCTTTAAGGTTTCTGTATTAGCTCCTCTGCAGTGGGGACATCAAACACTTTCAAGTTTTGGGTTTCCTACCTATCCCCATACCTCCCGTATGTGCTCCCCCCTTAGTGTGTGACCCAAGTCTGATAACATTGCTGCATTTACCCTAGATCTAAAGTCCACATATGAGGGAGAACATATGATTTTTGGTTTTCTGAGCCTGGCTAACCTCCCTCAGAATGATGTTTTCCAGTTCCATCCATTCACTTGCAAATGACAACATTTCATTCTTCTTCATGGCTGAGTAAAATTCCATTGTGTATAGATACCACATTTTCTTTATCCATTTGTCAGTAGTGGGGCATCTTGGCTATTTCCATAACTTGGCTATTGTAATAGTGCTGCAATAAACATGGGTGTGCAGGTGCCTCTGGAGTAGCCTGAGTCACATTCCTTTGGGTATATCCCCGGGAGTGGGATTGCTGGATCATATGGCAGATCTATGTTTAGATTTTTAAGAAGCCTCTATATTTTTTTCCAGAGTGGTTGCATCAGCTTGCATTCCCACCAGCAGTGTACGAGGGTTCCTTTTTCCCCACATCCTTGCCAACACTTGTTGGTGGTGGTGTTTTTGATGATGGCTATTCTAACAGGGGTGAGGTGGAATCTTAGTATGGTTTTGATTTGCATTTCCTTTATGGCCAGAGATGGTGAGTATTTTTTTCATGTGTTTTTTGGCCATTTGAATTTCTTCTTTTGAGAAAGTTCTGTTTAGTTCAGTTGCCCATTTCTTTATTGGTTCATTGATTTGGGGAGAGTTTAGTTTTTTAAGTTCCCTGTATATTCTGGATATCAGTCCTTTGTCAGATGTATAGCTAGAAAATAATTTCTCCCAGTCTGTGGGTGGTCTGTACAGTTTAGAGACCATTTCTTTTGTTGTGCAGAAGCTTTTTAATTTTATGTAGTCCCATTTGTCCATCCTTTCTCTTAGTTGCTGAGCTGCTGGGGTTCTATTGAGGAAATCTTTGCCTGTACCTATTATTTCCACAGTATTCCCTGCTCTTTCCTGTACTAACTTCAGAGTTTCGGGTCTGATATTAAGGTCCTTGATCCATTTTGAGTTGATACTAGTATAGGGTGATAAACATGGATGAAGAGGTTTTTTATTATTTATTGTTGTGTCTTATAGAAAGTTATCGTGATGTCCAGTTGAATCCTGTTCAAGTGAAAACCAAAATTATTTTATTGTGTCCTTAGTCAAAATCTTGTTGTATAGAGAAATCACAGAATCTCTACTCCATAATACCAAAAATATAAGATCTTAAAACATTTCTCCATTGATAAACAGCTTGGTTACTGACAGATGTGAATTTCATGCAAAAGCAACAAAAATTTTGCCTTATGGATCCAGTGTGACACCCTAGACTCAAATAGATTCCAATTTCTGATGGGTCACATCCAGACTAAGCTTGACTTGTCACATAGAGGAGAAAATAGCAAATGTGGACAAGCACTGATGAGTAAACGTGAGAGAAGTACTGTGGTTCTTCCTGTGCTCACTTACCCTGGTGATGGACTACCAAAGCTCATAAGGACTGGTCCCAATTTGCTCTTGCCATTCCCTCCAACTCTCAGATCATGGTCTCTCTACTACACCACCTTCTTTCCTCTCCATCAAAGGACACACATTTAGGTTGTTCTCACATTCTGAGGCTTTAAGAGTCTTTCTCAGTGCTTTATCCCACGCCCCTAGGATCCACCTTCTTCTGTAGTGATTCCGGCCCCTCCCCCACCCCTGTTCCCATCACCCTCACCTCACATTTGATCTTCTACAATAGCATTTTCTGAGGACTCCCACCTTTCCTATATCCCATCCCTATCAGAATCCATCCTTCAGGTGGCAGTAGAGATCTCCTATAGTCAAGGCTCTCCACATCAAGAAACTATTGGTTCGCTCTGGAATCAAGATCAGAATGCCTAACATTATGGCCACTAGAATGT